AATTGCTGTGATCTGTTTCTTATACTGAATAGAACTTCGGTAATTGTATATTTTTAAAATTGGGAGTGAGTAATAAACACTTACAACAAAAATGAAGAATTCAAACTAGGAAACATGGGTAATTAATATACTTGATAGGACTAAGACGACCTCCCTTTGAGAGGTACAAACGCTTCCAACCTACCAACCTCCTCTCCACCCTTTTCACAATACTGTCCCAAATGTGTATACCTGTGAACCTTGCTCCTAGTGGGAGGCCAAGATATGTCATAGGCAACTGCTCAACCCTACAGCCCAATGTAGTAGCCAACCCCTCCAAGTTATCGACCTCTCCAACAATGATAGCCTTAGATTTCCCCAAGTTTATCTTCATTCTAGATATGGCTCCGACGCACAGAAGCAAACGACGCAAATTTCTAAAGTGCTCAACATCTGCATTACAAAAGATCAGAGTATCATCTGCAAATAACAAATGAGATATTTGCAATTGACCAATCCTAAAGCCCTTTAACAAACTCTCCCCTCACAACCTTCTCAACCATTTTACTGAATGCCTCCATTAGAGACAAAGGATCCCCTTTGTCGCAAGCCTCTACTACCCCAGAAATGACTTTCAGGAGTGTCGTTTACCAAAACTGAAAAAGAGACAGTAGAAATATAAAATTGAATCCATTAGCACCATTTGGCCCCGAAGCTACATCGCCTAAACATATGCAATGGGAATCCCCAGTTCACGTGATCATAGGCCTTTTGAATATCAAACTTACATAGCATCCCTGGAACCCTTTGACGTAGTCTTGAATTAATGCATTCATTTGCTATGAGTATAGAATCCAAGATCTGTCGCCCTTTGACAAAAGCATTCTGAAATTTAGACACCACTTTTTTCCAGCACCTCCTTTAATCTATTAGCCAAAACCTTTGCAATAATCTTATACATTCCACTTACTAAACTGTTAGGTCGAAAGTCCTTAATGTCCATCGCTCCTATTTTTTTGGGATCAGCACAATAAATGTGGTATTAGAGCTTTTCAAGAACCCACCACACTGGAAAAAGTAAGCAAAAAATCCACAATGTCCAATTGTATCACACCCCAACGGGCAACAAGCCTGACCTCTAATTTTTCTGATAGCTTCAAGAAACTGACCAAAGAGATAAGCTGATGCGGAATTTCTTTGCCTCTTGATAATTTGGTGGGCTTTGTCGACTAACTTGAGTGGATTGTTTAACTCAAAGGCAGTTA